GGGGGACACCGGGGGACACAGGGCGTGGAGGGGACGCCGGGGACACAGGGGGCACGGGGGACACGGGGGGACATGGGGTGTGGAGGGGACACGAGGGGACACAGGGATGGGGCAGGGACACGGAGGGGAGATGGGACATGGAGGGGACGCCGGGGGACACGAGGGGACACGAGGGGACGCGAGGGGACACGAGGGGACGCAAAGGGACACGGGGGGACACGGGGGGACATGGGGGGACGCAAAGGGACGTGGAGGGACACGAGGGGACACAGGGGGACACGAGGGGACACGGGGGGACGCAGAAGGACACGAGGGGACACGAGGGGACACAAGGGGATGCGGAGGGACACGAGGGGACGCAGAGGGACACGAGGGGACGTGGGGGGACACGGGGGGACGTGGAAGGACACGAGGGGACGCGGGGGGACGTGGAAGGACACGAGGGGACACGAGGGGACACGAGGGGACACAGGGGGACACGAGGGGACACGGAGGGACACGCACAATGCGCGCAGCTCCTTGGCGCAGCGCTGCACCGCCGCGTGTTTGTCGGCCAGGCGCTGCAGCAGCGCCGCCAGCACCGAGCGCTGCTGCCGGACGGCCTCGTCCAGAGGCTGCGAGCTGGGCACGGGCACGGGGAAACGGGAGACGTGGGGGAATGGGGGAAACGTGGGGGAAACATGGGGAAATATGGGGGAAACGTGGGGGAAATGGAGAGAAATGGGGAAAAAAATGGGGACAAACATGGGGGAAACATGGGGGAAATGGAGAGAAATGGAAGAAATGGGGAAAAACGTGGGGAAAACATGGGGGGAAATGGGAGAAATGGGGAAAAATGGGGGAAAACATGGGGAAAACATGGGGGAAATGGAAGAAATGGGGAAAAACGTGGGGGAAAACATGGAGGAAATGGGAGAAATGGGGAAAAATGGGGACAAACATGGGGAAACATGGGGAAAACATGGAGGAAATGGGAGAAATGGGGAAAAACGTGGGGGAAAACATGGAGGAAATGGGAGAAATGGGGAAAAACGTGGGGGAAAACATGGAGGAAATGGGAGAAATGGGGAAAAACGTGGGGGAAATGGAGGGAAATGGGGAAAATCACGGGGGAAATGGGGAAAAACATGGGGAAAAATATGGGGGAAATGGGGGGACATTGAGAAAATGGGGAAAAACATGAGGGAAAACATGGGGCGAGACGTGGGGAAAATGGGGAGAAGTGGGGGGAAAGGGGGAAAAATGGGGAGAAATGGGGAAAAACATGGGGAAAATGGGGTAAACATGGGTGAAAACATGGGGAAAATGGGGCGGAATGGGGGAAATGGGGGAAAATGGGGAAAAATGGGGAAAAACATGGGGAAATGGGATTAAGTGGGGGAAAATGGGGAAAAACATGGGAAAATGGGGAGGGACATGGAAAAATGGGGGGAAATGGGGCGAAGAGGGGAAAATGGTGGGGAAAAGGGGAAAAAATGGGGAGAAGTGGGGGGAAATGGGGTGTAAAGGGAGGAAAATGGGGGGAAACGGGGGAAATGGGGAAAAACACGGGGGAAATGGGGAGAAGTGGGGGAAAGGGGAAAATGTGGGGTAAAAGGGGGGAAATGGAGGGAAAATGGGGAAAAATTGGGAAAAACATGAGGAAAATGGGGAGGAATAGGAATAAATGGGGAGAAATGAGGAGAAATATGGGGAAAATGGGGGAAATGGGGGAGAAATGGAGGGAAATGGGGGAAAACATGGGGAAAACATGGGGAAAATGGGGGAAAACGTGGGGAAATGGGAAGGAACAGGGAAAAATGGGTGGGAAATGGGGAAAAACAAAGGGAAAATGGGGAGAAATTGGGAGAAAAATGGGGAGAAATGGGGAGAAACATGGGGAAAATGAGGGGGAAATAGGAACAAAAAGGAAACGGGGAGAAATGGGGGGAAATGGGGAAAATGGGGAAAAATGGGGAAAATGGGGAAAAATGGGGGGAATCAGGAGAAATGGGGAAAAGCGTGGGAAGGAACAGGGAAAATGGGGATGAACATGGGGAGAAGTGAAAAATGGGGAAAAACGGGGAGAAATGGGGAGAAAATGGAGGAGAAAAAGGGGGAAAAGGGAAGGGAAAAGGAAAAAAAGGGGAGAGGGGAAAGAGGTGGGAAAAGAGGGGAGGGAGGAGGGGAAGGGACAGAAAGGGAGGAGAAAATGGGAGGAAAAGAGAAAATTAGAAAAGGGAAAAGAGAAAAAGGAAAAAGGGGGAAAAGGAAAAGGGGAAAAGGGAAAAAGGGAAAAGAGGAAAAGGAAAAAGGGGAAATTAAAAAGGGGAAAAGAGGAAAAGGAAAAAGAAAAAGGGGAAAAGGAAAAAGAAAAAGGAAAAAGGGGAAAAGAGGAAAAGGGGAAAAGAGGAAAAAGGGAAAAGGAAAAAGGGAAAAGGAAAAAGGGAAAAAAAGGAAAAAAGGGGAAGGGAAAAAGGGGGAAAAGGAAAAAGGGAAAAGGGAAAAGGGAAAAGGAAAAAGGGGAAAAGGAAAAAGGGAAAAGGGAAAAGGGAAAAGGAAAAAGGGAAAAGGGAAAAGGGGAAAAGGGGGAAAGGAAAAAGAAAAAGGAAAAAGGGGAAAAGAGGAAAAAGGGAAAAGGGAAAAAGGGGGAAAAGGAAAAAGGGAAAGGGGAAAAAGGGGAAAAGGGAAAAGGAAAAAGGGAAAGGGGAAAAGGAAAAAGGGAAAAGGAAAAAGGGAAAAGGAAAAAGGGAAAAGGAAAAAGGGAAAAGGGAAAAGGGAAAAGGAAAAAGGGAAAAGGGAAAAGGGGAAATGGGGCAGAAAAAGGGAGAAAAAAGTGAGAGAAAAGGGGGAGAAAAAAAGAGAAGTAAGTTTCTTAGCTCATTACCCATTAATAAGCTAATTAATTTTCATTAAGCATCCGTTATCTAATTAACTCAATTAGTGAGTTAAGGCTTTTTAGCTAACGAGATGCCCCAAGTAACAGATCCTGTCATTTAATCGCTAATTACACTAATTACATTAATCCAATTAGCTCTTACCCATCAAAACTGTTTCTCGTGCCATTAATGACCACATAAATGAGCTAATTAATAAAGCAATCAAGCTAATTAAATATGTCCCCAGCTAAGCAATCAAACCACTCATTAATTGCCTGGGAATTTTAACCAATAAACAACCAGCAAACTCATAAAGAAAACCCAACTAAGATTAATTAGAAAAGAAATTAATTTAAACAACCAATTACATCAGCCATTAATTAATCATTAATTAGCTCGTTCTGGTTCAAGCCACACCCCCTCTGCTAATTAATGCTCGCCTTTCCCAACCCTGCAGCACCTGCCCCGCTAACGAGCTTTAATAAAATCAGCGATAAAACCAGTAATTTTAATTAACAGGAGTAATTAACTAGCAGGCCAACTCCAGGTGTTTTGCAGTAATCAATCAGCTGCACCAATTAATTAAAGCCACCTTTAATTGGGCTGAGCAGGTGCCCTTGCACTCCCCAAACCCGTTCCCAATATCCCGGCTGATTGCTGCGCTAATTAGTGTTAATGAGGCACTACAGGTGGTCATGGTGCTAATTAGCGCTAATGAGGCACTACAGGTGGTCACGGTGCTAATTAGCGCTAATGAGGCACTACAGGTGGTCACGGTGCTAATTAGCACTAATGAGGCACTACAGGTGGTCACGGTGCTAATTAGCGCTAATGAGGCACTACAGGTGGTCACGGTGCTAATTAGCACTAATGAGGCACTCATTGGTGGTCACAGTGCTAATTAGCACTAATGAGGCTCTACAGGTGGTCAGGCTGCTAATTAGCGCTAATGAGGCACTCACAAGTGGTCACGGTGCTAATTAGCGCTAATGAGGCACTCACAAGTGGTCACTGTGCTAATCAGTTAATTAGCACTAAGGAGGTGTGCAGGCACTCACTGGCGGGTGCTAATTAGCTAACGAGCACTAACGAGGGGCAGCAATCCTGGGTGGGTGCTAATTAGCTGAAGAGTGGTAATCAAGTGTGGCACTCACAAGTGGGCGCTAATTAGCTAACGAACGCTAACAAGGCGTGGGCACTCATAGGTGGGCGCTAATTAGCTAATGAGCACTAACGAGGTGCATGGGTGGTGCGGTGCTAATTAACTAACAAGCTCTAACGAGGCAGACACTCACGGGTGGGCATGGTGCGGTGCTAATTAGCTAATGAGCGCTAACGAGGGCACTCACGGGTGGGCGCGGTGCTAATTAGCTAATGAGCGCTAACGAGGCACACTCACGGGTNCGGTGCTAATTAGCTAATGAGCGCTAACGAGGCACTCACGGGTGGGCGCGGTGCGGGCCCCGGTGGCACTCGCCGCAGGTCAGGCGCTCGCAGGCGCTGCAGAACTGCGACAGCGGCTGCAACGGGTGCAGCGGGCACGGCCCCGGCAGCGCCGCAGCCGCCGCAACGGCGGGAACGGCCGGAGAGCCTGCGGAGAGACGGGAATGGGGGAATGGGAATGGGAATGGCCGGAGAGCCTGCGGAGAGACGGGAATGGAGGAATGGGAATGGGAACGGCCGGAGAGCCTGCGGAGAGACGGGAACGGGGGAATTGGAATGTGGGAACGGGAACGGCCGGAGAGCCTGCGGAGAGACGGGAACACGGGAATGGGAATGGGAATGGGAACGGCCGGAGAGCCTGCGGAGAGACGGGAATGGGGAATGGGAATGGGAACGGGAATGGGAATGTGGGAATGGGAACGGGAACGGGAATGGGAACGGCCGGAGAGCCTGCGGAGAGACGGGAATGGGGAATGGGAATGTGGGAATGGGAATGGGAATGTGGGAATGGGAATGGGAATGTGGGAATGGGAATGGNCGGAGAGCCTGCGGAGAGACGGGAATGGGGAATGGGAATGTGGGAATGGGAATGGGAATGTGGGAATGGGAATGGGAATGTGGGAATGGGAATGGGAATGGGAATGTGGGAATGGGAACGGGCGGAGAGCCTGCGGAGAGACGGGAATGGGGGAATGGGAATGGGAATGGGAATGGGAATTGGAATGGGGGAATGGGAATGGGAATGGGAACGGGAATGTGGGAATGGGAACGGGAATGGCTGGAGAGCCTGCGGAGAGACGGGAATGGGGGAATGGGAATGGGAATGGGAATGGGGGAATGGGAATGGGAATGGGAATGGGAATGTGGGAATGGGAATGGGGGAATGGGAATGGGAATGGCCGGAGAGCCTGCGGAGAGATGGGAATGGGGGAATGGGAATGTGGGAATGGGAATGTGGGAATGGGAATGGGGGAATGGGAACGGGCGGAGAGCCTGCGGACAGACGGGAATGGGGGAATGGGAATGTCGGAACGGGAACGGGCGGAGAGCCTGCGGAGAGACGGGAATGTGGGAATGGGAATGTGGGAATGTGGGAATGGGAATGTGGGAATGGGAATGGGAATGTGGGAATGGGAATGTGGGAATGGGAATGGGAATGTGGGAATGGGAATGTCGGAACGGGAACGGGCGGAGAGCCTGCGGAGAGACGGGAATGTGGGAATGGGAATGTGGGAATGTGGGAATGGGAACGGGAACGGGAATGGGAACGGGCGGAGAGCCTGCGGAGAGACGGGAATGTGGGAATGGGAATGGGGGAATGGGAATTGGAATGGGAATGGGGGAACGGGAATGGGGGAAAGGGAAT